CTCACAAGCCTGGAAGATGTCTAGTGCTGCTACCACAGATGATCTCGCTCTGCAAATGGAATTGAACGATTCAGATTAGCTCGCCACATTAATAGAAGGGGGTAGAGTGTAGCCATCTGTGGCCCGGGCTGCCTGTTACAACTCAAGTCAGACGTGCAGATGACATCATCACACGGCGCTTTGTTTAAAAAAGATATAAATATAAAAAATATAACCGCGGATGTCTGGGGGACAGTGATTGGCCTACATGTTCTGAATGCTGGCGTACCATTAAGAATAAATGATGAACAGTTTAGTTTGTGCCTTCAAGTCATTGCCCATAGGAAGACGTTACTTGGATATCGGAATATCTTCAGAACGGCTCCAAATGACACTAAACTCATATGGGTGAGTAGAACATGATAACGTAAAATCAAGGGGCCAATGTAAAAAAGATGGTGTTCTCCTTTAAGGAGCCGAGTTACTCCTTTAGTGAAATACTTATAGACCCTGTTTGTAAAAAGTAGCGCTACCGCAGGTCATTCATCACAGCTGCCATCAGACTCTACAATGCGGCACTATATCGCCAATATTTTGTGCAATGTCTTCTATCCTTCTGGAACCTTCTTTTTCACTATTGCGCCGATGTAACAAGTAAATTTCTCCACTGTGAGATCATTAAAGTAAATCAATCAATCAATCAATCAATCAATCAATCAATCAATCAATCAATCAATCAATCAATTATCTACAGTTCTGCAGTATTTGTTAGTTCAACCCTTAACTTTATGTATTCTCTGCTTTTTCTCATAGTAGCTTCATCTGGTCTGTTCCTATTTGGCTGTGACTCTATCCTGGAGAGAAATATCAGCTGTGGTGCTGCCATCGATGCCTTCAATGATGGAGTTTGGCCTGTTTTTTTTTAGTATTTTGTCCTGTCTCTCCTAGACAGCTATGGCCTTAGCTTTTACTGTGACTAAAGAAAACTTGCTCAGAGCTCGTCTGCTTAGCCATTTTTTTCTTGACTTCTTTTTTACCTATGAAGCTAATTTACATTTAATTTTTCTAACGTCGAAATTAATTATAAATAAAGGATCTAGATAATTATAGATGACCTTTTGTATCTCAGCTTCTTTCCATATGTCTGCTTCTGTTTTCCTGAACCCCAGTCAGCCTCAGCTCACACTGAGCCTGGTTCTGCTGGACGTTTCTTCCTGTTATAGGGAGTTTTCTTCTCCACTGAAAATGCATGCATGCTCGGTGTGGAGATTGCTGGAGAGTTGGTGACACAATGCAAGCGAATATTTACTCTTGCCACATGCTGATCCAGGAAATGATGCATGCAAATTCAAAAACTTGATGCAATCAGCTGGTCCTCCTTGGATTGAAACTTTGAACCAATCTGACTGGATGGTCTGGTTGAATTGTGTCTGTAAAGTGCCTGGAGATGACATGTGTTGTGAATTGGCACTTTCCGATTAAGCTGAATTGAACTTGCCCAAACACTAAGCCCTGTTATACTCTATAACCATCTGATGCAGGAGAAAAAATTTATCAAAAATATAAATAAGGTAGAAGCTTCCAATGAAAGATGATCATGATCAATAGAGTACTTACACTTAAATGACAAGTATAAATATTTACGTCCTTGCCATGCTGAGCACTAGGACCTGATGACATTGACGAACACATGACATCCGCACCCACGTGTGGGTGCTGTTCCTGGACTTCAGTTCAGCTTTCAACACCATCATCTCACAGCATCTGATTGGAAAACTGAAACAGCTGGGCTTCAATACAATCCTTTGAAATTGGCTGCTAGACCTTCTCACAAACAGACCTCAGTCCTCAGTTGGACAGCACACCTCTGATGTCATCACCCTAGGCACAGGCTCCCCTCAGGGCTGCGTCCTGAGCCCCCTGCTGTTCACCCTGATGGCACACGACTGTGTCCAAAGGTTCACCACTAATCACATGGGGAAGTTTGCAGACGACACCACGGTGGTGGGCCTCATCAGTGACGACAACGACCTGGACTACAGAGAGGAGGTGGAGCAGCTGGTGGACTGGTGCAATAATAACAGCCTGATCCTGAACGTGAAGACAAAGGAAATCATCTTGGACTTCAGGAAGAACCGGCCTAACCACGCTCCACATCAACAGCTCAGCTGTAGAGGTGGTCAACAACACCTGGGGGTGCACATCACAGACACCCTCACCTGGAATGGACTTCCTGTTGGAGGACGATGAGAGCCCACCTGCCCCCAACCATCCTCCCCACCTTGTACAGAAGCACCATAGAGAGCGTTCTGACCAGCTGTCTCACTGTGTGGTGTGGAGGCTGCAGTGCCTCAGACTGGAAGAAGGTGAGAACAGCAGAGAGGATCATGGGGGCTCGTCTTCCCTCCATAAAAGACATTTCATCAATGACCCCCCCCCCATGGACTCTTCTCCCTGCTGCCCTCTGGAAAGAGACTTCTCGGCATACACCGTATATATTTAATGCTCTAAACTTCCATATCAATGTGTATTTTGCACCAAGTTTTTTCTCCCACACTGTTTACATTTAATCACAGCTACACTTAATGGAATAAAAATTTTCTGAAAGATGTACAAAACGAAATTTAGCTTTGTATACACTCAAAATGACAATAAATAATGTATTAGTCCGAGTCTAAGAAATTTTGATTTCAGAGGTGGGGGTGCGCAAGTATTTTTTAATATAACTCTTATATAGAAGTTAAGTTAGGAGTTTCCTCCACTTTCTCTTGCATCTCTGCTATCCTCTCCTGACAAAATATATGGATGCATGACATGATCAATTGGACTATTTGAGTACAACAATCCATGTATATTACTATGAGCTTGGATATATATAAAATCACATCCATAGATTGTATTTTTTTCCCCATTTTTTGATGATAATATTATATATAACAATGATATATATTATTTATCAGCACTTTTAAGAAAACAAATACACTTTACGATGTAATTGAAAGCTTTCTAATTCTGCGGAGGGATCTTGAAGTGGATCTGCTGCTTTATGGAGCCAGTGAAAGTGTTTTAGGAGGAGTGTTACACAGTTCTTTGAATGTAACCCACACTTTGACTCTAAAGAAGTCTTAATGTCTTTCTTTTCAAACATCCTGGCTGAGTCTAATTACCGAACACACAAACACGAGCACGCACATGAGACCAATTCAAAGATTTGTGTAAATCAATACAGCTGATATTACAATGATTACATGAAGAAAAATGCCCAGCTTAATGTAGCAGATTCCCTCGCCGCCTGTTTGCTGACCCATGTTCTTCTCCAATACCGTGATGTAGAGCTTCAGCAGTGCTGTGACCGTCCAATCACAGACCCGATTCAGTGGCGCATCAGATGTTTGTAAAGTGAGCTTCTCAGGAGTGGCAGCGGTAACAGCCAATCATACAAGGAAAGGCTGTGGATGGGGCCGCCTGTGGAGCTGGTTGACAATTGCCTTTTTGTATCTGTGCTTCTTTTTCTATGTCTGCTTCTGTCTCCTTGAACCCCAGTCGGCCTCAGCAGATGGCCGTTCACATTGAGCTTGGTTCTGCTGCAGTTTTCACCTGTTAAAGGGGAGTTTTTCCTCTCCACCATCGCTACAAGCATGCTTAGTGTGAGGGATTG